AGCTAGTGTCTCCCCTGGATAGAAACTATTCAACACCTCCAACCCTTCCTTTCCTTTCTCTGTACGACACCATTTTGGGATGCAGGGTAACCAAGAGCTTCTTACAGCAAGCACAGGTATGACCAATGCAACTCCTAACAGACAGTCCTATATTTTCTGCACTGATGGCATTTCCTGAAAATTACTAAATATTCAATTCGTTTTTTTTCTGACAGCTGTCAAGCATTGAAATACTGCTTCTGAGAACCCAATCTGATGTTTCCGGGAAAGGATTCAGAGCAACAACAGTCATTTACTCCCTCCTCAAGAACAAATTTCCATCCATTATGAAATTCCAGAAGTGGATTTTATGCTGTCACTTAATCCTTTGGCACTTTCCCACTCAGTTTTAGTTTTGCCTGTCTTAAATAATCCTCTCATCATAAATTTTATCATTCTATCTCCATCTTTCCTTGATAGCTACATGTTGGACTAATAGTGACCAACCTGCTAACAACCTTGTGAAGAAAAACAAACCTTACTGCCTGTATGATAAGACTCAAGGAACCAAAGCACCTGGAAGCCATATGCCATGCTAAAGTGTTTTTTTTGAGTTCCAAGGACCCAGAGTGACAAAGTAATTGATTCGTGCTTCAATATCCTAACCTGGCTTACACAAAAGACAGAAAACCACCTTCAATTATTTCGGCTCTGAAACTTTTATTACTTGTAGACTGTTCAGATCTCAAAATCAATACCACACAACAACTTGGTCTAGAGAAAAGCATAATTTGTGAAGAATTTCAGATCAATCTTTTTCACAGTTTTATTTTACTGTGTCATTTAGCAGTGCAAAATATCCCTCAAGATAAGGAAAAAAATATCCCACCACTTTCTCTTTCTTCCAGATGTGCTCATAATGTTTTTTCCATGAGGGTGTAGATGAAGCAAAGAGAATCATAGTGAAGAATGAGGAAAAGCAGCAGCTTTATGGTGTATTGAGTCTGGCTGGAATAGAATTTTTTTTCCCCCAATGTAGCCTATATGGTGCTATGTTTCGGATTTGTGACTAAAACCATGCCAGCACCACCACCAGCCTTAGTGCTGCTGTCAGCCTATTGCTGAGCTGTGGTTTTGTGTTGCTGTTTTTGTTTGCTCCTTTTTTCCCCCCTCCATTCTGCCTCCCCAGCAAGTAGGCTGTGGGTGTGCAGGACAGCAGGGTCACAGCCAGGATAGCCGATTTGAACTGATCAAAGTATGTTCCTATCACACGATGTTCTCTGCAATAAATGCTCAGAGAAGGGAGAAACCGGCCCGTTCTTGTCTGCGACATCTGTCTCCCTCTCAAGTAACTGTTGTGTGTGATGAAGCAGTGAATAATATTATCTGCAGGATAGTATTTTCCATACTTTATGAAGGAAGATCAAGATTTAAATGAAATGAGCAGCACATCCACCTGCTAATTGGGAAGTAGACAGTTGATATTTTCATTTGTAGCTTGCACAAAGCAAAAAAACTTGCCCTTTGCAATATTTTGTTAGCATTTTGTTCATATCTCTCAGGCAGAAATCCCTCAATCATACTCAACTCACCAGATCCTTATGGTATGCAATGCTGGTTTGAAACACTGATTTGCTTTATTTTACATTTTTAAAAGACATGTTTAATGAGGAAGAAAAACGGGAGAATCTATTTTCATTGCAATAATATCTATGAGTATTTACCCATTAATTATTTTAACATGATAACAAATGAAACACAGCTTTATAATGACAGAAAAGTACTTGAAATGCCTTTCATTTTATGACTATAGGCTTTTGCAGGAAGACAACAGCCCCTAACGCTGAAGGAAACATGAGATTTGGGATGGACAGAATACCTGCATGCATGTACCTATATCCATCAGGGTTTAAAACGTGGATCACAATGGCAGATCTCCCAATGGATATGCCTATTAGATTTACAAGGAGTACCACCTGCTTTTCATCCTACTACCTTAAAAAATTATAGCCAAGGAAAAGTGCCAGTAATAAAACTGGACCACTCTACTACAGTACACTTACCAACAGCGACTATGTACAATACAAAAACTAAAAAACCTGATTGAGAAAGCAAGTCTACAGAAACTCTCCCAAAAGCTAAAAACATCTTGCACAGTGTGGATGATGCAGCTTTCTACATTTTGTTCTGAAAGGTTTTCACAGAACTTAAGCTGAAATGCCTCAGACAGACAGCTTACTTGCCATATAACATAGCTTTAGGTAAGTGTAGCTGCGGAGGGGAGGACTACAGACACAGTTCATCTTTCTAAGTAAATCAGACAATGCAAAAATGCAGAATAACTGCTGCTTAACTATCCAGCCTTCTGAATTGGGATACCAGTTAATGATCTTCCATTTCACACGCACGGATATACATTTGACAACACAACAAAAATCAATCCTATTGCCCATCTTTCCCTTTATACAGGCTTGGACAGCCAGAGCACAGAGATCATAGCATATGTTATTGTCTAATTCCACTCTCCACAGTATTCCTTTCATAACGGCGTCAACGTTTGACAGCAGAAGAGGAGAAACATTCTAGTTAAGGAACTGAACAAGAACTCTGCTGATCAAGGCTTTATATTCATTTCTACTAAAAATTCTACCCAGTCATAATTTGTGCTTGGTTCCCCATTGTAAATTTGGAACAATTTGCTTTTGCCTCTCATGCTTATTTTCCAGAAGTATCTGAGATTGCTTTACTGGTTTGCTCAATGCAATACAATTTTGATCACCCTTTTCTTCGTTTGCATAGACACTATTACACAATTAATAGAAGTTCAAATGCCAAATAAATCCACAGGCTATTAGAATCAAGGAATTACATTTCAAAGTTAAAAAAAATAATAAATGTTAAAATTCGGAATTTCTCTATAGTGGAACTGTTAAGTTATCTAGACATATTTATCAAAATGAAAGCAATGCAATGAAGCTAAAACTAGAAACTATTCTTGAACTATATATTCTTCAACTATACTGAACATGCTGAAAAAAATTTACTGCTGTTTTTGAACAGCTTCTTTCTTTGAAATTTGTTTCATTATTATAGCATTCCATAATCTTAACAAATCTGCATTGGATTCTTCTTGCTATTTTTGAATGTGCTAAATAAGAAGATGGGACAAACCATTCCATAATCAGTAATGTACTACATGTGTACACCATGTCATGGGTGACCAGGGCACAACGCCCAGCCATATGGTGCACTTAAGAGCCAACTCATCTACATTGCCCGTTACCAGGCAACGTGCTGGACTTCAGTCTCAGCCTAGTAAGAAAAAAATGACCTCTTAGCCCCAGAAGTTGATTGATATTCATTGTGCTGGTTAGGTTATGATCACAGGGGAAAATAATAAAATCAATTATGCACATGGAGATTTGGAGGCATTAGACCTTCCCAGATTCCAAATGAGTGTTTTCTTCTTCTTTCTTGTCATACACCTCAAATCACTGATTTATCTTCTTGAAAGAACATGAGTATCTTTTTTAAGCACATTTCTAGATAGTGAAGCAGTATATTCACAGTTAAATTTATGCCAGCTTCCTAAAAACATGCTGGTAATTATCTTGGGGACCACTTTCTCCCACAGGTTGGAAACCCCAACTTCAATCTTACATTCTTTATTACAATTTCTCTAACAAAAGCTGTCAGTTGTGTCAAATTCTGCTCAGAATTATAAGGTTATTCTGTGATGGAAAGCAGTATTAATGAGAGGAAAAGCCAAAAGCAACAAGCTTGCTGAGCACCATAGAATTGATTTCAATCTGCCTTCAAGATGAACAAACCTTTTTCTTGGTTTTATCCTGTAAACCAGGCAATTTTCTTGAAACAACAAAATTTTGTTTCAAAGACATTTAGAGGTAGATTGTGTATGGTATAGGAGAATAAGTATAAGACATTTTGTATTCCTAACAAGGACTGCACACCAAATTCTTTCACTGACACAAAACTGTTGTGGCAGAATTCAAGTTCTAACACTAATGTCTTTGTGTGAGAAAAGTGAGCCTACTCTACCTCATCAGCACATGTGCAACTTACTACACAAAGAACAGAGAAAAGACTAATTTCAAATATATTTCTATTAGTTCTGTGTGGGGCTCACTGAATAACTGTAGGCACACATCTAATTGCTATTGCTGTACCACAGGACAAGCCATGCCTATTACACAGTACAAAGATGGAGCACTGCATTTTTTTTTTTAAGTAGAGGATTGGTGAGAAATGTTTGCAAAGTACCAAATACACACATTAAGAATCATACACTTTGTTTAGTTTTTCTGTTATCTTGCAACCGTTATTCAACTGAGTATGAAATTGTATCCTAATAAAAAGTGCTTAATCAATACTGTTTCCAAGCATGGGTTAAAATGCTTCACAAAAAAAAAAATATATCTGAGTATGAAACAGCAACGAAAAGTCTGGATAAGAAAACATCTGTTGGAATCTAATGTAAAATAGCTTTCAGGAAGGAAAAAAGTAAAAAAATGAACTAACACAACCACCGCATCACAAGTTCTATAAATCTATGAGCTTGAACAACAAAGCATAAAGAATTATTCATGGCTGTTCTAAGGGGAAGACTGCTTGAACCAACTAATAAATATACAGAATTTCTTCCTGACAGAATCAGTCAAAAGTAAAATAAACACAGCAACACAACCCCGACCTGCAAAAGGGAAATAAGAGGAATGAACAGTTTGTTTTAACCTATGGACAGAAACAGGGAAGATGTTCTGTTGCAAGCCACAAACAAGTTGTTACTCATTGAAGAGTAAAAGACAATTGATCTTCTAAGAACGGCCTATGAGTCTTGAGATCCAGTATCACCAGGACCAACATATTACCTTATACAACTGCAAAACAAACATTTCAAACCACAAACTGCAAAACAAACATTTCAAACCACATCCCCAGGAAAAAATGAAATCAACAACAGCAAAAAAAATAAAAAATAAAAAATAAATCAGCATACTTACAGAAAGAAGGCTCCGATCATGAAAACAATAGGCACCACTTGCATGGGGCTTCTGTGTAGTTTCCTAAGCAAAGGAAAATGAATTCTTACTGTGCAAGATAGATTCATAGGAGATAATATTTTAGCTTTCCAAACACTGAAAGCCTGAGGCAAGCTTTACAATTAATAAATATATAATAAAAAATATAAGGAAAATATTGCACTGAGGAAGAATTTCACAAGAAAGAAATGTACCATACATTATAGGGACGTAATAACATTGTTACTTGAGAACAAAGAAAAACAGCAGAATTCAAACAATCATAAAAACGAATAAATATTTTATTACTTAAGTAATAGATAATTAAAGGACAGAGAAAACTAGCCAGACACTTTTCAATTCATTTCAAATCTACATTCTTTGTTTGCATTAGGAACTCACCTAATGCAATACAATGCTGTAGTTCAAAATCGTCCTCAGTCCAGGTTTCTGTTTCAATAGGAATACATAACTATGATTTGCTTGGGTGTTTTCAGTTATAAACTTCATGCAATTTTGCAAAAGAATAATTATCATAAAATATATAAACAGAAGGGAGCATCCAAAATATATTATACATGCGCAGAGCCTTGAATTAAAATAGGATAACATTCTATCCCATACTATTCTTTTTTGTTTAAATCGATGAGCAGCTGGTGACATCTAATATTTTACTGAATTATTCATTGAATTTCAGCAGTTACAGTAAGCTCAAGCATGTTTTTCATAACAAATTCACCCTAAATGCATTTTCATTTCCATGTGCACATGGTAGTATACATTCCCTCATCCAAACAGATGATAGAAATACTGTACATATTTTGAGTCTACAAAGAAAAAATACAGCAAAAAGTCTCTGTATTATTAAAACAGATAAATTTTATCATGTTTTACCCACATAAATAATTCCATACAGTAAACATATTGAATATTTTTCTAACAAAATGGTGTTATTCATTTATTTATAATAACATACATACATCTATAAATCAAAATTCAGTAGTGATTATCCCTAATGAGAAGGAATAGAAGCAACCACCACAACCACCAAGGTACACGTTCTATAACATCTCAGGTAGTAACAATTACACTTAGATGTTACCCATATATTAGGAGCCACACTTTGCTTATCCAATCAAACAATCGCTAAACAATATGGATTAATCTTCAGTCATATTCACACGATTCTACAAAGCAATTTTCAATGTAAGTAAACAGAGAGAAAATGCTAATAATTTTGTGAGAAAACCTGCATTTTGACAATGTCATGTTCACAAGCCCCTAGATAACCCAGCTGAGCATCACAGATGTTGATGTTATGCTTCCAACTGACATGAGATATCATTAAGATGGTACACACCACTAAAAGGAAACTTGTCTGGTTTTATAATGCTAAATCTTGTTTTCAACATGTCATATAGCACAGAAAAACAAGGAGCAGGTTCTTGCTTTGCATCCATTTAGCACACGATACTACAACATTTGTCAACAGTACAATAAACATTCTGCAGGACTCAAGTCCTTATTTTCTGAGAAAGTAAATAAAAGCAAGACTTGAGTCAATTAAAAGAAATCTTACCAAGCATCTAGGAAGAAGCCAAGCTGAGAAATGTTAATATCCCCTTAAAAATGGAAGAGTGGGGTTTTCAGGTGAGAATACCTCAGCTCCCACAGGGCAGCCAGGTCTGCAGCCAGACCAGCAGAGATTCTCCTGTGGTGTCACTGCCACAGAGAGCTCCAAGCCATGCAGGCTTATAATGTTACCATACCTGTGCATTCCAGGAGTATCCCAGCCATTACAGTGCTTTTCCTTATGAGCAGTTCCTTTAAGTATTTTACATATACGTATAGAAATGTGTGTGTATATAATATATATAAATAAAGGTCCCAGGGCAATAAGAAAAATATTAATACCTACACGCAGATTCTAAGTTTGATTTACACCTTCACAACTTTATCAAAAAGCATATGTATAATTTACCATCATCTGACACCTTCAATTCCGCTCTAAAATACCACTAAACAATGATATTTGTTGCTTCAAGTTAAAAGTGATTCCCTTTACATAACAGCAAAATACAACAAGAAGCGAGCTTTGCCATCATTAGACTTCTAACCACATTACTTCTATTTTGAGGCTTTTTTGTTTGGTATCAGTTTAATTTCCTGTCAGCCTTACAAGAGATTGCTAATGTTTGGGCTGTAGGATATGCTCTGATTAAAAATAATCTTCCCAATTACTGCCTAGCATGAGTCTACTGCCACATGCACTCTGCCACTGGCTTCTGAATTTCTGTCAGCAGTAATTGTATCTGTAGCTCCTAACTGTAAATGAAAACCCAGGGGGCATATTTGGGTTCCAGTTTCCTGTGCCTCGCCATATCTTTTAATTTGCACTGTCTGTCAAAAGGAGATGTTCGTCGGCACTAAAAGGAAATCCTCAGAACATCAGGTTAAAAATAAAAAAAAAAAAAAGGAGAAAAAAAGGCAACTAGAATATGATAAATTATATTTTATACTTATACCACGTAGACAGAGAATGTCATTCATTCTTTTAGCTGCAGAAGTGGTAAACTGAAACTATGTATTGAACATTTCTTCCAGTCCCAATTCCTTCAGGGACTTCAGACCCATGTTATCACCTCATCTCTGTCCCAGTTCACTGCTGCTGCTCCTGGATTTGGATCCTGGCCTTGCCTAAAATTGTCAGTGCCCACTCCACTTTAGGGCCTGGTTCCGCTCTCCCCACTGAGGCCCGATGGACCCACAGCCCACGGGGGAACCCCTCGGTTGCATGGGGTGCCTTCAGCTCCAGCTTCCCCCTCAGGGACAGCCAGCTGGCCCCAGATCTTATGTATTTGAGACAGCACTGCTTAAACCTGGCAGTAAGAGTTAAATGCAATCACAGTCACCAGCTTAATGATAATTCATGTTAAGATTGTCATTGATTCACTTTTCCTCTTAGGAGTGTTGCTGCTTAGAGAGCTATGATGGGTGACCTAAAGACAGTGTACCCTGTGTGATCCTTAAAGGAAAAGCATCAGGAGAAGAATGAACACCAAGCACAGACTGGACTCTGAAATAAAGAAACTTGAGGATTAGAAAAACTCTTGAGGTAATATTAAAAGCGAAGCACCATTTAGAAGGGAAAAGCACAACCATGTACATGAGACTTATGTCAGCAGTTTTACTTGGGTAAGATCTCAAACAGCCCCTCAAAGATCCTCTAAAAAGCATCTCTAAACTTCTGATGCTCAGAAAGCTCTCTTAACGTGCAGAAGCCTACAACGCAGAAAAAGTCTGTTCCTAGCTAATTTCTCCTCACACAGAAAGCATCAAAATTTCTCCATTAACATAGATATCATAACTACTACTTAAGAAATAATCGCTTTTAAGCTTTTCTTCAGAATTTTTGCTTTTCTCCCTCATTCTTCTGCATAAAGAGGTTGTTCTACCAAAGCTCTTAAGCAGAAAGAACAGTCTCATGAACATCAGTAAGATTAATCACACAATTCCACATAATAATAATATACTTACATGCCCGCTAGAAGATTACCACAAATTCAAGTGAAGAGGACATACAATAACATGAAAAAGCCCGAACTTTTATCAGGACTGTAGAGTTCTCCTGTCAATCATGAGCTTTTAGCACTGAATGCTGTGATGCTGACAAAGACCAAAAAGTTGCAGCATTATACTTAGAGAATGGGGTTTTTACATTTTCCATTTTGAAACTAATAGTTCTCTCATCTGTAATGAGTCAAGAAATGAATCATTGCTGTGCAAAGCAATGCATCTTTGAAAGAAATTTCAGATGTAGAGAAAATAAAGCTAAATTCGCTAACTTTGTCCTCTTCTTTTTAAATGACTATTTTGACATTGCATTTTCAGCATTAATAAACAATCTAAAATTAATGACTAGAACAAGGGAAAGTTGTAATAAGGAAAATGAAGGCAGTTTATCCAATAGTTTCACAAACATGATATGGATACTCTCACTATAACTGAAAGAGCTCAGCTATAGGATGCATCTGGACTGGGAAAATGTAACAGCAGAGCAGCTAGCAGCCCTAACAGCAATAGCATAGTTAAAGGACACAGCACTTTCCTCTGACTGAATCATGACACTTGTGGACAAATCTGAGATAAGCACACGTTCCACATTTTCTGAACTAAAGAAAATTTGCACACCACAGAAATACGAGTATCTTTTTGCACCCTGGATGGGAAGGGTATAGAATGGGTTGGCTGATATTTATCAATTTTCAGGAAGAGCAATTTACATAAGGTTATCAGGTCTTGAAAGGGTCTGGCCCTCTCACCTGATGTCACCAACCACGTTGGGTCTGAGTGTGCAGGCTGGGAGCCACTCACATAGATCCAACCATGTTCACTCTCCCAGAGCCTTCCCTTCTCATTTCCCTTACCTTGTAGAGCTGCTCTGAACCAGTCAGCCCAATCTCTCTTACCTTGTTCAGATATCGCATTCTGATAAAGCATTTAACGTTAATCTCGCTGACTCAAAATTATTTTTGATAGCCCATTCAGTTAATCACTATGCTATAACTGAAAGAACACAATTCTGTAATTTAAATTGGGGAAGAAAATGCCTGTATGCCTTAGAAGCAGCTTATTTTTAAGAAAAGCTAATAAACCTTCTCTGTTAGTACTGCAGAAGTACTTAGTCATACAGAAAAAAACATACAGAAAAAAAGAAAAAAAAGTATTTATTCCTGCTCATATGAAGAGCATATAGAATTTGGCTATCCTTGGCTCTTTATTGAAATCATCATCTACTTCAGAATACAGGTGAAGTTCTATCTGCATACCAAATGGGACACTGCCAGGGATCTTAACATTGAAGTTGTATTTCTCTTTCTAGAGTAAGCACTGACTTAAGCTGGTTTTCACGGGAAGAAGGGACAAGCACGTGTACAAATCATTAAACCCAGTGCACAGGCACACAGAAAACATCTCTGCAGAACCAGTCGGCCCAGATTTGCTACTTGTAAGCAACAAAAGATCATTTTTTTTCTCCTCTTTTTAATCTACAGTTCTTTCTATTTGCACCATATCCACTGAGAAAAAGCATTGGATTTGTAAGCATTGCAGGTTTCCATCCGCCTTGCTGAATAACCGGCTCCACATCACCTTTTTCTTTATCTGTAACCTTCCACAGCGTACTGAGAAAATCACAAACTGCAAGTAAGGGTCCCTTCTCAATCACTTACGGCATCAGGAGCTTCACACCAGTAAGCTGACACATGTGAAATAAGACCACTTATCAAAGAAGAGAGAGGTCAAAGGCTTCTAAGGTTGGAACAGGAACCTGCTGGTTGCTGCAAATCTCTCACCAGCTCGTTTGAGCCTGACACTTAATATTCAAACTGAATTGCAAGCGATGTACTCAAGGATAAAGCGCAGTAATAATAAAGATTCATGGTCTGACA